TACTGGGGGTGTTACCGGTACCAGCCGGGGGGGGTTACTGGGGGTGTTACCGGTACCAGCCGGGGGGTGTTACTGGTACCGGTAATTGCTGGATTATTATGGATAACTGCTAGTGATCAAAATGTGTTACTTGTATTAGCCTGGGGTAATGGAGTATTATTACTCTGTGTGTTACACGTATCATCCTGGAGTAATAGGGTATTACTGGTACTTGCTGTAGTGCTGTGGGTTATTACTAGCGGTATTTACTAGTACCTGTTGGGGTCAATAGATATTATTTAGATCTGGCTTTCTGTTAACACAAGGAATTGGGTAGTAGTGGAGATGATGGGGTATTAAAGGTAAGTGTTGGGGGCAGTGTTGTATTAAAGGAGGTTGTGGAGTACTACTGGTCACATTATTCACTGCTGCTGTTAGCAATATGGATATAATCTGTTTTCAGTCCCTGACCATTGCCAGGGGTTGGAAAATGCGCTGGGAATTGTATTGAACTGATAATTGGTTAAATTGCTGTTCTCTTTTTGTTTAGGTCTCTGACACCCCTTTACTACAATGTATAACGGCATTGGACTCCCTACCCCACGGGGAAGTGGTACCAATGGATACGTCCAACGGAACCTATCTTCAGTCCGACACAAAAAGGATCGGACAGATTACAAGTCAGAGGAGGAATTAAAGAAGCTGGAAAATCTCCTGGTGAAAAAGCCTAACCAGGAGATCTTGGATCACGAGAGGAAGAGGAAGGTGGAATTAAAATGTGTCGAGCTTGAAGAAATGATGGAGGAGCAGGGGTAAGGGTTGTTTTATTTCTGCCTTTGGTTTCGATGTGTTCTGTACTGTCACAATGTTAACTCGTTCCTCTTACAGATATAGCGAGGCAGAGATCCAGGAAAAGGTTGCTACCTTCAGGTTGATGTTACAGGAGAAAGATTTGACTCAGAGCAAAGAGGAGGAGAAACAGAAAGCAATGTACGTATATCCCCGTTACTCTGTGCGTGGTGCGTCTTTATCCCTTGCTGAATTTCCCTTTCTCTTTAGTGTTTCAGAAACTCACCAGATGGCCGAAGCCAATGAAAAAAAGAATGAGCGCCTTCGCGCAGCATTTGGGATCAGTGACAGCTATGTGGATGGCAGCAGCTTTGACCCCAACCGGAGAAATGCTTCTGCACAAGGAAAGCAACAAGAACCACAGAAATCCTATAAGTGAGTGTAGGACTTTGCTTGGGGATTTCGGCTGTGGATTTTTCTCCTATTCATTTCAGCTGGTCTTAACCAAAGTGTATAATTAGAGCTCTAGTTGGGTTTTGTTTAAGGGGCTTACTCGAGTTTGTTTTTTAGTTTGGTTGCTGACTCGGCCAGTTCCCGATCTCCCTCGCCATCGCCTACAAAACACAAAAAGAAGAAGAAAAAGAAGGATCGTGGTCGGTAAGTGTTGTGGATGCTCAGTAACTAGCCGCAGCAGCGATTTATGAGCAGTGCGATGGAAGATAGCGTTTAATAAAACAAACTAAATGGATAAAAAGAAAGGGGCTGTAAGCCATTCTTTGATGGTGAAGGAGTGATTATATGTAGAGTTTGTATAATTACGTGCAGTGGCCGCACAGACACAGCGCTCCTTGAAAACTCTATACAGTATCTCACAAAAGTACACCCTCACATTTTTGTAAATATTTTGTATTTTCATGTGACAACACTGTAGAAATGACACTCTGCTACAATGTAAAGTAGTAAGTGTGCAGCCTGTATAACAGTGTAAATGTACTGTCCCCTCAAAATAACTCAACACACAGCCATTAATGTCTAAACCGTTGGCAACAAAAGTGAGTAAGCCCCTCACCCCTCTCTAAAAAATAGAATGAGATTAAAGTATAAGTGTGAATACTAAAGTGTAGAAATGCTAGGTAGAGGCTAGACCAACAAATCAAAGTAAAGACGTAAGGTAAAAGCATATTGAATAAGTAGGGTAGCTAGACATGCCAGTCTGCCAGAGGAGTAACTAAAGTGGCCTAGTTAATGGACCACCTAACTGTCTATGGCACCCATTAAAACATTAGAAGAACAGATTTTGCTTGGAAATATCAACCACTTCCTGTTCTCTTGAGATCATACTCAGACTGATGTCTGTAGGGGAATATCTGCCTTTTCACTTTTCGATACATTTATTTCCAGATGTGTCCAAATCCATCCTGTGGTTTTTCTTTAAATTTGTTTAATCCATTAACAATGCAGTGTGGAATATTTTTTAGTTTGGAGACTGGTTCTGTTCCCTCTTCCTCCCTCCTGCGGTAGGTTTCAGGGTTCAGTTTTATAAACTGTGTTCTTGTTCTCTAGGTCTTCCAGCCGCTCTCAAAGTCACAAGGAGAAGAAATCAAAGTCTCGGAAACACAGGTGATTCCTGCATGTTACGATTTCTCCCTTCCATTCCCATCTTGGTACAGATCCCCATCCTTCCCAATGTCTAGGTATTATTCCAGCTGCCGATTCCCTTCCATTCCCATCTTGGTACAGATTATTTTATGACTTGTATAGCGCCAGCAAATTCCGTAGGGCTGTACAATACAGATCTCCATCCTTTTCAATGTCTAGGTGTTCTTCTGGCTGCAGATTCCCTCCCCCCCTTGCTTAGAACTCTGCCGATTCCCTTTATTCCCCATCTTAGAACTCTGCCAATTCCCTTTATTCCCCATCTTAGAACTCTGCCGGTTCCTTTTATTCCCCATCTTAGAACTCTGCCGATTCCCTTTATTCCCCATCTTAGAACTCTGCCGATTCCCTTTATTCCCCATCTTAGAACTCTGCCGATTCCCTTTATTCCCCATCTTAGAACTCTGCCGGTTCCCTTTATTCCCCATCTTAGAACTCTGCCGGTTCCCTTTATTCCCCATCTTAGAACTCTGCCGATTCCCTTTATTCCCCATCTTAGAACTCCGCCACCAACTGCCATTTCCTGTTCTTTGTATTCTGGAGGTAGGTGCTTTTCTTACTTTGGTTAGTACTGAATCCAGCTGCAGAACCCCATCCCTCTCTGTGCCTATATGGTCCATCTCTCCCCACCCATTTGATGTCATTTTAGATCTGTATTTTCTGCTTCCTTCCAGGTCGGCTTCAGACTCCAAGAAGAGGAAGCACAGGTATGAACCTAGCCAGGTCCTGCTCATGTGAAGTATTGACAATTACAATGCTATGTGATCTTATTGTAATCATGATTTAAATTTCTTTCAGATCCTCCAGTCCAAAAAGCAAACGCAAAACCAAGGAGAAGAAAAAGAAACGGTATGTGTGACCAGTAGTTTGGGCTCTGTATGTCGTCCCAAAGATGTGTGTGTACACGGAGTACTCATTATATGGTCTGTGGCACACTGCGCGCCGGCCGCGGGCCCTGTGTAGTGCGCGCCGGCCGCGGGCCCTGTGTAGTGCGCGCCGGCTTCACTCAAGATGAAACTCTGCGCATACAGCATTATGCCATCATGACCACTACTAAAAGCAGAGGTAATCATGGTGGTTGGAGTAACCATTTTAATTGTATAGCAAAGTATTCTTTGATTCCAGTCTAATGATTTCAGCGCTCACTTCCCTAGAGGTGGACATCATCAAGTCATTGATATTTCGGATTGAGTATCTAGTACAGCAGCTGATCCTCAGTGCTAGAAAGCTGTTGTTCTGTCATCCTCGTGCAGTCTTCTCACAGAGACCATAGTTACATAAACTGAAAAGAGACTTGCGTCCATCAAGTTCATCCTTCCTCACATACATTTTTGCTGTTGATCCAAAAGAAGGCAAAATTTTGCAACAAACTAGGAAAAAATTTATTCTTGACCCCAAAGTGGCAGTCAGATATCACTTGGATCAAGCAGCTATTACCACATTAATTAGAAATTATAACCTTGAATATTCTGTTTTTGCAAGTATTTATCCAATTGCTGTTTAAACATCTGTATCGACTCTGATAACCATGTAAAATTCAATTTTTTTATTTTTTTTTTCCTTTTAGCTCTTTAAGTGCTTCTCCACACCGTAGAAACGCATCATCCTCCTCATCTGGTGGGACCTCACGAAGCAGGTACAGTTTGTGATTTGTCCAAAGTTCAGCCAGTGCTAACTGGAAAAAGCCAAATAATAATATGCCATCTTAATTACTAGATCCAGGAGCAAGTCAGAGAGCCATAGGCACTCTAATGCAGGAAGAGAGACCCCAGAGAGAAGGAGGTCCTCTTCACCCAAGAGAGACCGAAGAAGGGACCGTGGCAGGAGCCCGACAGATCTATCACAGAAGAAAGATGTAAGTTGTGTGGTTTTTTTTTGTTTTTGTTTTTTAAGAGCAGCAAGAACCTCCTTCCTCAGGCAGACCAAATCCAATGTCCCTAGATTTAGTTCACAAGAAGTGTTAACGTGGCCCACAATACACATTATGCAACCTTTTTTTTTTTTTTTTTTTGCAAAAATTGGGTTTGTAGGGAATAGACAAAAGAAATTACACTTTTCTGGCTAAAATAGAGATTAGTTTTCCCAGTGCAACTATTTTAGCGTAGAATTGCAAAGCCTTTGTCAATTTTGAATTCCCAGTAGGGCCTATCCCGTTTTGGCCAAAAACGGGCCTAATGTAGTGCATAATTTAACAGATCTGCTTCCATTAACAATTCAGATGATAACGATCTTTCATTGTGATATATAATAACATGAAAAGTGCAGAATACTGCACTTGTGACGGGGGGAAAGAACACTATGGGACAGCGTGCTGCACACCGGGCCCCACAGTGAGCGCTTGGGGTGCTGCATGTAGGTACAGGGGCTTTCTGGTTCAGACAATCTTCATGGCTTCATCTCCCATACATCACATGATTTTCTGCAGTACATTTTATATAACTTTAAATTTTTTTTAATTTAAACGGTTAACTCATTTATTCTTTCAGAAAACGACAAGGAGAGATCCCGATATCAGAGCTCGATCTACTTCATCCTCTACTAAAAGACACAAGGAGCTTCAAAATGTGCGAGAACTGGATAAAAAAGATAAACCTAGAGACTCTAAAATCGAGAAGATTTACTCGCGCAGTGCAGCTCGGGAAGAGTCCCCTGTTATCAGCAAGGTGAACAAAAAGAGAGGAAGACCAGACAGCCCTGAAGAACACTCTTTAAATGAAAAAGATAGTGCACGTTCTTCAAAGACCCATTCACCAGGTCGTAAAACATCTCCTACTGTCAAAGGGCAGTCATCCAAAACATCAAGCAGAATTAGAAGTTTATCGCCAGGTAGAAAATCTCCAAAAAAAGTACATAAAGAGAATTCTCCAAGACATGAGAAACACTTACAGAAGAGACACTCACCAGTAGCTTCAACCAGGAAACCTTCAGGAAGTGATCGATCATCTTCCTCATCCTCTTCAACTTCCTCTTCCTCCGTATCAGAAAGTGAAAAATCTGATCAGGATCCATTCAAACAGACTGACAAAATTAAAGTCAAAGAAAAGGAAACTAGAGGGTCGAGAACAGAACAACATCAAGGAGATAAGAGAGGGAGATCGGTAACTCCCAAAAAGGACATTAGATCAAAGAACTCACCAGGCAAGCGGAGTTCCCACCATGCTACATCTTCGAAAAGAAGTGCATCAAAAAGTCCCCACAGACGACGCAAGTCAAAGAGCCCACCAGAGAAAAATCGATCACTTTCTAAGAGCCCATCAGTTAAGGATCGATCCAAAACTCCTGTACGCAATCTATTATCACAGTCTATTACATCACCAAGGAAGACGAGATCAAAGACACCACAACGAAGAGCTAGGTCTCCCAAGATTTTAAGAAAACCACGGCAGCCCTCTAGAACGCCTCCCAGGAGGACACGCTCTAAAACACCGCAGCGTAGGGCAAGATCTATTTCTCGCACCTCCCCACGATACCGTAAGGAAAGAGTTAGATCTCCCCAGAGATCTCCATCTACAACCCCACAAAAGTCCTATTCCTCTAAAAATAAAGGAAGATCAAGGTCTAGGTCACCCTTGAGACATACAATCTCAGGTGCACGGTCTCCAAGAAGAAAGGGTCGATCACATTCTAGGTCTCCCTACAGAATGGCAAAATCACGCTCCCCTCTTAGGAGAGCAAGATCACGATCACAGTCAGTAAAGCAGAGAAAAAGATCTCATTCTAGATCGCAACAGAAAAGGGCAATGTCCCGTTCAGTTACACCACGTGGAAAAGGCAGATCACGCTCTGATTCAGTAAGGCGTTATAGAAGAACACCTTCATTAACACCAAAGGATTCTAGATCTCGCTCCAGGACACCCTCTAAAGATTTAGGATCACGAGCAAATGTATCTAAACGCTCCAGATCACGCACTCATTCTCCTTCAAAGGACAGGTCTCGTTCCCTGACACCCAGAAAAAGGACAGAATCTTCTTCTATAACTAACAAGCCACAGTCTTACACTAAATTTGTACAAAAGAGGAACACCTCTAAATCAAAGGAACGTCATCACTCCTCTAGAAAAAGGTCTTCATCAAGATCCATGTCTCCTATAGAAAGGTCCTCTTCACAAAGCCCAGCTAGAAGGTCCCATTCACGTTCTAAATCTCCCCGAAAATTAAAAGGAACACAGTCATGGGTCACTCACAGAAGCATTATTTCTAGGTCACCTACACCTAGAAAGCAAAGCCAGTCTAAAACTACAAGTGGGAAGCAAAGTTCTAGCCGGAAAAGTTACAGTTCCTCCCCTGAGCCTCGAGGTAAGCAAGGTACAAGCAGGCATTCTCCTGAACACGTGAAAACATGCAAAATCTTGGCATATAAAGATGCAGCTCAAAATAAAACACATGGTAGGAGAAGCCGATCAAAATCACCTGTGTCACAAACTTTACAGAGAAACAAGTTGCCTGTTCCCTATAGTAGGACTAAGTCTCCCGAGTGCAGGACAAAGCCAAAAGACTTGCACAGCAACTTCCAAACAAAAACAGGAAATCTGGATGATAAGTTGCGATCATCAAAGCAAATGCGCAGTCGCTCTGACTCTTCAGAGCATGAGGTTAGTTCAAAAGCCAAAGTACTGAATGATGGGTCCCGATCCTCTCATGATCATAAAAGTAAATCCAAAACCATTCAACATAGAGATATGTCTGATTCGCCTTCAGAACATAAATCTAGAGTAAGTTCGTCTCCGCCTAAAAAAAACTCTTCAGCGCTTTCATGGCGAGCCCAGCCAAAAACACAGTCTGATTCATCTGAACATGTGAAAGTATCCAGCAAAGGTAAATCTGGCACATCACCAGAAGGTGAATATAAGTCTAAACTAAAACAGAGAACTAGGTCAAGTTCAGAACATGACTCAAGCATTAGTTCTGAGTCATCTTCAGAAGATGAAACTGTGAAGTCCTCCCGGCAACAGAGCAAGCGTGGTTCACCTCGTGAACGTGAAGCAAGGCAAAATGTACAGAATTTATCTGACCGTGACATTAGATCTAAGAAACCTCTACAAAAGCAGATGCTCGAAGAGTCTGCTGTATATTCTGTAAGTTCAAGACTTCCAGGTAAAGCTGATTCAAAACGATCAGAACATGATCTAAAATCTAGATCACTTGAGCTTAGAGCTAGTTCAGGATCCTCCTCTGAGCGAAAAAGCAGACCATCTCAACATAAAGATATTTCATTGTCTTTGGAAGAATATCCAACTAGATATTCCCGAAGCAGAGAACATTCTGTCTCCTCAGATCAGCAGTATAAAGCTGGACACCCCAGAAGCAAATCTAGTTCTGAATCATCCTCGGAAAGGCAGCCATCAAAACCGCCACATGGTAAAGCAAGTTCAGTTTCATCATTTGAAAGGAAATCTAAATTAAAACCATCTAGTAGCAAAGCAAGTTCTGGGTCATCCTCTGAAAGACAACCTAAATCGAGGCTACTGCGTAGCAAGGCAAGTTCTGGGTCATCCTCTGAAAGGCAGCTGGTATCAAGGCCTCCCCGTAGCAAGACAAGTTCTGTATCATCTTTGGAAATGCAACCTAAATCAAGGTCACCACATAGCAAAGCAAGTTCTGGATCTTCCGTTGAAAGACCACCTAAATCAAGGCCACTGCAGAGCAAAGCAAGTTCTGGGTCGTCCTCTGAAAGACCACCTAAATTACGGTCACCGCAGAGCAAAGCAAGTTCTGGGTCGTCCTCTGAAAGACCACCTAAATTACGGTCACCACGTAGCAAAGAAAGTTCTGACTCCTCATCGGAAAGACAACCTAAATCACGATCACAGCGTAGCAAAGCAAGTCCTATGTCTTCATCAGAAAGACAACCTAAATCAAAGTCACCGCAAAGCAAAGCAAGTCCTGGTTCATTCTCGAAAAGGCAGCTTAAATCAAGGTCATCAAGGAGCAGAACAAATTCTACTTCATCTACTGAACGTCAATCAAAATCTAGACCACCTCATAGCAAAACTATATGTGGCTCACCAACAAAATCTAGACCACCACTCAGCAGGGCTAGTTCTGTGTCATCAGCAGAACGGAAACAGAAATCTACACTGCCTCGTAGCAGAGAGAGTTCTGCATCAGCCCTTGAGCAGCAAACAAAATCCAGAAGGCCTCATAGCAGATCTAGTTCAGAATCATCCCCAGAGAGACAACCAGAATCTAGACTGGCCTGTAGTAGATCTCGTTCTGCATCCTCCCCAGAGCAGAAAGCAAAATTGAGACCATTCCACAGTAGATCTAGTTCAGCATCATCCAAAGACAGACATTCAAAATCTAGAGCAACCCATAGTAGAGGAAGTTCTGGCTCCTCACCTGAAAGGCAACAAAAACCTAGATCTTGTCGTAGAGGTTGTTCTCGTTCTTCCACAGAAAGGGAACAATCACCTAGAAGCAGAGCTAGTTCACGCCAACAGAACCGATCAAGATCTGACTCCTCAGAACGTGCACATAAAACTGGCTCACCACAACATATCACTGCTTCTAAGTCATCAGATAGAGACCTTAAATCTCTCTTGCCAGACCAAGAATCTAAACGTAGATTGCAAACTAGTTCTGAGTCGTTTTCCAAATGTGACTCATGGAATCTACAAAAATATGGATCATCTGAGCAAGAGGCCACATCCAGAACACCTCAACACAAAACAAATGATCTAGCCAGGTCACCAAATCTGCCCCATTCAGAGCTAGAATTTCAGGCTAAATCCCCTTCAAGTAAAATGTATTTAGACAGTGAAATGCAATTTAAAACTCCTCAGCCAAGTGGGAAATCTGTGGCATGTTCTGAACAAGAAGAGGGGTCCAGGTTATCACCTAAAGTACAGTTTGGTCTCTCCTCTCCTTTGAGAACTCTGCATAGTAGTTTTGTATCTCCATCATTTGCAAAAAAAGACTCCCAGACACTTGATTTGAAACCTGATTTTCTGTTAGAGAAGTCAATGAAAAATGCTTCCCCTCTTTGTTACAAAGATGAACAATCTAATTGGCTTAAAGCAAAATCCCATCAATCTAAAAGCAAAACTGTGCCATCACCTGATAGTACTGATGGACCAGTGTCCTCAAAACCTTCATCTTCTCTGGAAAAGGAGAAGCTGTCCTCGTTCGAACAGTTAACTTCAACTTGTGAGATTGAGAGTTCCAAAATATGCTCTCCAAAAACTAACGACACCAAGGAGAACTCTATGGAGTCATTTTGCTTGGGATTCAATGTAGCTGAGACTGAATTGAAAGTATCTGAATTGCACAAAGATGAATTTATTCAGAAATCTGAAACACCGTTAGATAAGGATCCTCTGCCAGCTTTAACATCTGCACATGAAGCAAGTGGTGTTTTGGACAGGAAGGGTTCAAAACAAATGTCTGAATCTCCTGTAGCTGGAAAAGAAAAGCAGAAAATTGCTTCAAGGTGGGCAAAATCAAGCTCATCGTCATCCTCCTCTTCATCTTCATCATCCTCCTCCTCATCATCCTCTTCATCGTCCTCTTCCTCCTCCTCCTCCTCATCCTCATCTTCCTCTTCATCATCAGAGGATGAAGCAGAGCCTCTGCCAAAGCAAACAGGGGTTTCTCTATCCCCTCTATCAAAGAAGTTAAAAATGAGCCAAGGACATTCACCATCAAAATGTTTAGAAAATGTAGATCATGCTAAACTGTCAGAGACCACTGCACACTACAAAACTGCATTGACTTCTGAAAAGCTTGTATCCTCACCACAGAGAGCTTCAGCAGGATATCCCCTTCCAATGGTTAGCAAATACTCTGAAATTTTGAGAAGCAATTCAAAATCACCAGTGCTTACTGATGTGGATCTGAATAACGTGCAGAAAATTGACTCCCCTGCTCCATCTTTGGAGAAGCTAGGGTCACCAGCGAGTAAAACATTGCAATCGCCATTACAAAATGTAATAGAATCCCCACCCAGAGATGTAATGAAAGACCTAGCTACAGAACCAAAAGGTAATCAATCAAAATCTCCTACTCGCAAAAAGAGCATGTCGCCGAAGAGAAGCAGGTCCAAATCTCCGTCAAACAGCTCTCCTTCAATAGTTCCCTCCAAATGGAGAGAGATATCTCTTGAAGGCACACTAGATTCTGCCCAAGCGCCTTATGGTGACCGTAGCTCTCCAGTAGCCCAAAAGAAATCAACATCTCCTAAATCTGACAAGTCCCCATCGAAAAAAGAGAATGCTAGCAGCTCTGACTCTTCTTCAGAAGACAGCAGTTCTGACTCTTCCAGCGAGCGCAGTGCTTCTGTGGAACGCTCTGCACCAAGTCATGTAGGACCTTTGTCAAGGGTCAGTGTGTCCCATCCACCCCCTATACGACGTATTGCGTCACCAGTCCAACAAGAGAAATCTGACTCTCCTAGAAGTGAGCGCTTGATATCGGGGACTAATAAAGGTTCAGTGAGACGAAGCCGCTCCTCTTCCTCTTCTAGATCCTCTTTGAGACAAAAAGAGCGTCTCTTAGAGAGAAATTCATATCCACAGAAAAGATCTATGTCACAAACACCTCCCAGAAAAGGATTGTCAAAAACACCACCGAGGCGTAAAACAAGAACACCTCCCAGAGCTTTTAGATCACGTTCTAGGTCAAGGGCTGAAAAACATTCTCGTAGAGAACGTTCTCGTTCTTCTCCGAGGCGTGGCGCATCTCGCTCTCCTTCATGGCAAGATCGAAGGCGTTGGATCCGCCGTAGGTCTCCTTCTTCACCCAGGAGAAGGCGCTCTGGTTCTCGTTCCCGTCTAGATAGGACATGGCGGTCTCGCCGTGGTCGTTCTGGTTCTTCCCCTTGGAGAGGCAGATCAAGGTCTTTGTCAAGAAATGATCGCTCTCGTTTTCCCCGGCGTGGCAGGTCTCGGTCCTCTCCAAGGAGGAGATCCCGATCACCACGTAGGCGAGAAAGGCCAATGAGTTATTATCGACGTGATAGATCAAATTCCTCGCCTAGACGCAGACGATCCAGAACGCCACCAAGAAAGTCACGGTCGCCTGGTAAAAGGCCTAGGTCTCGATCTCTTGACCGATACAGAAGTTCACAGCGTAGTAGGACAGCAACTTCCCCAAAAAGTGGCCGTTCTCCACCCTCTCCTCGTGGAGAAACGACACGCAGGAAATCAATATCTCCATCAAGAGCTGTGAAACCCATGTCTCAGAAAGTTCCTTTGTTGTCAGTGAAAGGCACTAACCCAGATCTTAAATCTTGTTCAGCTTCTCCTATCATACCAGCTGTGCCAGCGAAGACATATCCAGAAATGTCAGAAGGTGTGAAGTCTCCATCTCCTCCACTCCTGGAAAAGCATACAGATGGACAAACTAAAATGATTTCCATTCAAGATATGCCGCCTGGCGAAGCCCTTGCTGACAGCAAAAGTGTTGCTGAACTCCCAATGGCAAGCAAGAGTCCATCCAAGCAAGAACCATCTGTAGATGAATGTAGTCAGTCACCTCCAAGACTTCTTAGAGTCCCTGCTGCTCCAGAGACTCCACCAACTTCAAGGAGTGGGGAAGACAGTCCTGAACCAGTAATATTATTGGAGAAGACTGATGATGCAAACCTTGCTTCACAAAGCATCCACAATGCAGAAGATTCCTCTCCAGTGGCAAAAGTTAGAACCTACACCAACCAAGACAATGTGCAAAATGGGGAAAACGAGCCCTCCTCACCAGCAAACTTAAAGTCCATTGTGAGCTTACCTACTGAACAGGATTCCAGGGATTCTGTCAAGCAAAAGAGGACATCTAGCTCCTCAAACAGCTCCTCTTCATCAAGCTGTGACTCAGATGCCAGTCCTCGCAAGGCTTCTCCATCCCTGAAAGACACATTACAGTCTGCACCACCTTTGGTCAGGTAAGCTGGTTACTGTTATTGGCAGGTTGCCTCCTTAATTTAAATTTTTTTTTTTAATTTTTTTTTTATCCAGGTTACCTCAAAATACACACAAAATAAGTACACAGAGAAAAAAAGAAGAGGGGAGCCAATTTTGTGAAGATAGGGACTTGGAGATTACTGACAAAAAATGGGGGGTAGTGATGAATACAAAACGAAAACAAAATTCATAAATCTCCAAAATCTATCTGAGGGAGAACGAGCAAATGCTAACACTTAACTTTTATTTCACTTGGTAAAAATAAATAAGGTAAAGTGTGAATAAAATAAAAGAATTTTGTGAAGATAGGGACTTGGAGATTACTGACAAAAAATGGGGGGTAGTGATGAATACAAAACGAAAACAAAATTCATAAATCTCCAAAATCTATCTGAGGGAGAACGAGCAAATGCTAACACTTAACTTTTATTTCACTTGGTAAAAATAAATAAGGTAAAGTGTGAATAAAATAAAAGAATATTTACAAAATCAATTCCACTGTTAAGGGCAATGCAGTGCATAAGTTCAGTGAATACCTTATGTAGTCGTAGTTCAAAGACTGTATAATTAAGTACACTACTAGATAGTGACGTAAAGGCAGTTAATGAGTAGAGAAAGGAGAAAAAAGTTAGCCTTGATCTTGATAGAAAATCAGACTAACGTGCCTTCGAGGGCACCCCTTACCCAAAAACTACTCTCACTGTTAGCCGCCCTGCCCAGTCCAACCAAAGTATGAGATAAAAGCACATTGAAAGGTAAGCACTGTTACTGAATCATAGATGTCAAGTATGATACTGACATATCAAAAACTCTGACAGAATCGCTGATACTGACCTCTTAGCTACCCTAATGAATACTATCTTTCCACTGACAACCTCACTCTGCCTGGAGAGGCTATCATAGGATATCATAGCGTTTATTTAGCCGTTATACAGATTCCCTTTTGCCTCTGATATACTTAGAACCGGGCACTGAGAGATAATCTATTAGTTGGCAGATCCTACTGCTAAATAGCTGCGGAGATATTCAGTTAACACAGCCAATTAACTATTTAGTTACCTTTTCAATGTGCTTTTATCTCTTATCACACTTTACCTTATTTTTTATTTTTTTTAACCAAGTGCAAGGTTTAGCATTTGCTCGTTCTCACTCAGATTTTGGAGATTTCTGAATTTTGTTTTCGTTTTGTATTTCCATTTGCATACACATAAAATAAGTCTAACCGTCTTCTGGATTGGAAGCACATTTAAAGGGGAACAATGTTTGAAGTATTCTAAGTTTAAATGGTCTACTAAAATCTATTGGAGAACTATTGTAAAAATTCTCAAGCTTCTATTCCAAATAGTTCAAAACAAATACTACTGCACCACATATCTCACGGGCAGGCTAGTTATTCACTCCGCATCTCACTTCTATAGCTGGTCCAGCAAAAGTTAATGTAACCTATTGCCTGTTAAGCCTTCGGTGTACAAGTTCAGCAAGATATAGACCAAGTTTTCATTTCCCCTCGGCACTGTATCACTTCTCTCAAATTTAAGTAGTTTTTTTTTATGTGCATTAATAAATCATGCCAGCGCTACATTCACTCTTTTGCACTACTAAAATAAAGAATTAAGGAAAATAAACTACTACTGCACTATTTTTTACAAATATAAAACACAATCCATACAAAATGAATATAAAAAAACAAACCTGAAATAACCTGTGGTTGACTCCTCAAATAAAAAATTAAATTTATAATCAATATCCTACTTCTGGACACTAGGGGGCATAGGTCCCTAAATAATTGCAACACAAAATATGTTGCGCTAATTACTATAAATGGCTGAATACTACCTCAAAGACAGAAAACAAATTCTTATAAAACTATTCCAGCTTACAGCCACCAGGGGGCGTCCGTTCCTATAAAATTGTATCATTTGTAGACACATATACTGACTGAGTGACTCGGGTTTGTGGGGACTCCGCAGGATTTACTTTACAGGAGAGGACATTTAAAAAAAAATAAAATAAATTTGTGATTCATTGAAGGGACGCTAGTCACCCATACAACTTTTTGTCTCATTGCAGGATTAAAGAAGATAGGGACACTGCACCCAGACCACTTCAATGTAAATCATTGCAGAACTAAGACTGTCGCTAGTGGCAATCAGACCATCACTAGAGACGCTTCTTGGATCCCAACAGACTTTTGGTCGCCTAACTGACGTTGGAAGTCCTCAAGTTCTGCATGAGGACATCTGGTGTCTGAAATCCCCATAGGAAAGCATTGAAGCAATGCTCTTCTATTGGGAGGGTCTAATGTGCTTCCTGTCCATGTTCCATTAACCCCTAAAGTGGAGTGTCTCTTTGACTGCTATGTGCATGTGTATCATGGGGACTTGTCAGATTTAGGAGAAGATGGGGATTTCTTTTGGGCTACTGTGCTAATTACTAACTTCCCTGCTTCAGTTGTCTGTGCTAATGTAATTGCTGAAATTATTGCTACAGATATTTGACTGTTACAAGAAAATACAACTTTACCTTGCACGAAAACACTGAAACCCAATGAGCTGTGCTCTGGTGTTGACATTACCTGCATTCAAAAGTATTTTGAGGTCAATCTGGGTGAACACAGTGGGTTGGTTGTACACAGCTCGTATTTGATTGAGTTGAACTGTCCAGAATAGTTATGTTTGATTTCAACCTGCTCTGTCTTTCTAGGAATTCAAGTCCACTGTTAACAGATCAGACTAAAGCCAATGAGGTGTCTCCGCCTCTGGAAGGGCCACAACGTTCAAGGAGCTCTAGCACTTCATCCTCCTCCTCTTCGTCCTCTTCTGGCTCATCATCAGACTCTGATTCATCTAGCTCATCATCCTCGTCTTCATCTTCATCATCTTCTTCTTCCTCGGGCAAATCCATCAACAAAACCAGCAGCAAGAAGGATGCTTCTCCAGGCCGCCAAAGGTGAGAGCTTTGTGCTTTGGAAGTGTGGTGAGGTATAGGGTCCCTCTCAGAGGCTATGTATTGAGAACCATGATCTGTGTGACTTTACCCCGGCCCCACATCCTCCGTATCAATGAAAGCACTGTATGTAAACCCCTTCGGTGGTACTATGGTCTGTTTTTTGTTTTGGCGCAGGTTTCTGTAGCTGTATGGTTTTGTGTGCTTTAGTGTAGTGACCTTTTAAGAGCATCTCCAAAGGATAGTCTTTTTCTACCCATCCTAATACCAGCAGCTGTCATTAGTATTCTTCTTAGAATGTAATTGGGTAATCCATCAATCATTACACTATTGAATTAGTTTGAAAGGTCCACCTTAGGGTGCCTGCCTAATATTCTGTTCAAATATGATCACCCCAGATATTGACATGGAGTGTGCCTTTAATAACGAACTATAACGAAACGTATACAGCACACCTAATGTGTGTGGGAGCCTTAAGTGTCCCTTTTAAAGGAACACTGTATGCATCAGAACTTCATCTGATTGACGTTGTTATAATGCATGCAGTAGATCTCTACTAAGTGCTGCTACTGAAACATGTTAGATCAATAAGTGCAGCTCCAAGCCACACATATAAACATAGAATGTGACGGCAGATAAGAACCGTTCGGCCCTCCTAGTCTGCCCAATTTTCTAAATACTTTCATTAGTTCCTGGCCTTATCTTATAGTTAGGATAGCCTTATGCCTATCCCACGCATGCTTAAACTCCTTTACTGTGTTAACCTCTACCACTTCAGCTGGAAGGCTATTCCATGCATCCACTACCCTCTCAGTAAAGTAATACTTCCTGATATTATTTTTATACCTTTGCCCCTCTAATTTAAGACTGTCCTTTTGTTGTGATAGTTTTTCTTCTTTTAAATATAGTCTCCTCCTTTACTGTGTTGATTCTCTTTATGTATTTGAATGTTTCTATCATATCCCCCCTGTCTCGTCTTTCCTCCAAGCTATACATGTTAAGATCCTTTAACCTTTCCTGATTTTATCCTGCAATCCATGAACCAGTTTAGTAGCCCTTCTCTGAACCCTCTCTAAGGTATCAATATCCTTCTGAAGATACGGTCTCCAGTACTGCGTACAATACTCCCAAGTGAGGTCTCACCAGTGTTCTGTACAATGGCATGAGCACTTCCCTCTTTCTACTGCTAATACCTCTCCCTATACAACCAAGCATTCTGCTAGCATTTCCTGCTGTGTGCCTACCTTTAAGTGGTCAGGAATAATAACCCCTAAATCCCTTTCCTCAGATGTTGAGGTTAGAACTCTATCAAATATTCTGTACTCTGCCCTTGGGTTATGATGTCCAAGATGCATTATCTTGCACTTATCCACATTAAATGTCAGTTGCCAAAACTCTGACCATTTTTCTAGTTTACCTAAATCATTTGCCATTTTGCGTATCCTGGAACATCAACCCTGTTGCAAATATTAGCTTCCTCAGCAAAAAGACATACCTTACCATCAAGACTGTAATATCATTAATTAAAATATTAAAGTGAACGGGTCCAAGTACAACTTTAAGGTCTCTGATTTTTAGTGCCCCTTTAATATAAACCCACCTAGTATAAATAACTGTAACCTAACCTACACAGGGCACCTAACGTGTGTGGGAGTCCGGAGTGTCCCTTTATTAATTAGTTTTTTTTAAAAATATATATTTCTCTCTCACAGATACTTGGTATTAGTGTAAATTAGCACCGTTTGCCAGCGCACTCACACTTTGCATTGCCTTTTCAGATCCCGTAGTCCTCGGAAACCAATTGACTCCTTGAGAGACTCTCGTTCATTGAGTTACTCTCCCCCAGCAAGACGTCGATCTTCTCCTCTCCCAGCACGCAGAAGGTATGTTGTCTCTGCCTCTTAATGGGCCAGTATGGGCACCATAATAACTGACAGGTTAAACCCCAAGCCTTAGAGAGCGCACATTTTCTCTGTTCAGCTACTTCTCTGAGGTCTGAAGCTTCAATCAGGAAAATGGCGCTAGTCAATTAGTGGTTCCACATTCAGAAAGCCAAATTGGGAAATGCATATGGCAGGTTGACAGCTGCCGATAGTTTGTGTGAAGTAGCTTGGCAGAGCAAATGGGTGCCGTTTTCGGTTTAGGGTTTAACTCCTTAAGTTAAGATGGCGACCATGCCCTCCTGACACCATAATAACTTTGAGCATCATAACTTAATTGCAATGAAGTTCCCTTTAACATAATGCATATCTTACTAACTACTCACTACTCTGTTGGCGCTGTACAGCCGTAGTAGCGGTTTATGTTGGCGCTGTACAGCCGTAGTAGCGGTTTATGTTGGCGCTGTACAGCCGTAGTAGCGGTTTATGTTGGCGCTGTGCTGCACTTAGTGGGTTTTTTTTTTTGCACAGTTCCCTATGAAACATTTGTGCTTAGCACAGTATTATTGCACAGTTTCATAATATATGCAGTTTAGTTACAAAGAGTGTTTAAAGTGACTACATTGAATTTTGTGCTCTTAATAGTTTTGTCTAAAAGACACCGCAAACTTTATTGTTTGTTTTTAGGTTGCTATATGTGGTTTTTCTCACATTGTAAGATGCTGCTTGTGGCAAACCCTGCCACTGGAACTGATCATTCTGTGTGAATGAAGGACTTTCACCAAGGGAATAACTAACCGAATGGACTTTCTTGTTATATTGCTGTTTTTATGCGATTGGCCGAAACTACCGAACGGGAGACCACCCCGGGGTGGTCGTGTGTTTCCAATTAGCTGAACGATACAATGTTGCGAGGGAATTAAGTACCTGTATGTGTGGCCGCCATTTCGGATACCGAACACGTGGCGGCGGCCATCTTACACACGAACAGCGGTACTTGGTTGTCGAACGCCTAGAACTCAAACCGTGCATTTGACTAACCAAGTACCGCTGAGACCTCCAGCATGCTCCAACAGCACGAATCAAACACACGAACGCCCCGGCTAGGTTATTCGGTACTTTTAATTCACTGAAATAGACCGACCGCAGGGCCAGAATTCATGGAACTGTTTTCGCCTACTGAGTCCCTGCGGTCGGTCAAAACTTTAACTAACTCCCGAACCCCTGGTCCGATCTGGGTGAATTTCGAGTATGTTGCTCACCCAGGTCAGATCTACCAGGGGACCCCTTATTTGTCCCTGTACCCCCTGTATTTAGGGGACATCTAGAAAGTGGGGAAAACTCTGTCCCCACTAATCTGTTTAAGGGCTAATCTAAGGGGAGGATAGGGAGGGGAGGTGACCAGGTTCCAATTGGCTACTGTAATAATTATGAAAGTTACCTCCCTTGCATGGGAGAAATGCATAAAAGCAGACCTGTGAATAAAGCTGACAGTTGACTCCCAGACTGTGTCGTCTAGTCCTTGGGGAGGAGGATTATGCTGAGTTCCTGTGATTTTGTATGCTGAATCTTTGTTCCCAGCGAGGGCCATTGGATTAACCCCTGCTCCTCCGCTACACTGCTTTTATATATTAGATTCTTACAATTTATTTATACTTTATTTTTTGCACTCATGTCACTCACTGCAGCTGCCACTTAATCTATTCTGTGTTCTCTCTAGGGATCGGGGTTCTGGGAGAGGTCGTGAGTCACCGGATAGAAAGCGCAGGAGAGAATCTCCCAGTTCTAGGTACTCTCGCAGACGGACTTCCAGGTAACTTTGGTTTTCATTATTGTAGCAAGGAAGACCCCTATGATCTTATATATTCACAGATTTATTTTTTGGGGGGGATTTTTTTTTGTAAAATTAATTGACCTGTTTCTTTCCCCTGCCCCCCCCCCCCATTTCTTCACTTAGGTCTCCGTGAGCCACTTCTGCCATTTCGAACAGAAGACCGTGATTATTTTTATTTTATTTTTTTTTTTTCTTTCTCAACCCTTCATCTCTTTCAAAGACTCTGGGAGGTTTTGGGAGTTCAGGGGGTGTTATCTAATAATGTTGGATGTACCCCTGGCTTTGCTGAATTGACTGACTGCAGGATGTTTCACCCTCTGCACATACATAGTATCGTTGTTCCCTGGGTGCAGAATCCATGACCCCCTCGATTGTCTCCATTTATGCAGATCCTGGACACAGCGGAGTCATAATGTGAATCTTTAGTCCCAGGATTAAATTGCTTAACCCATTGTCACATGTCTCCTTTCTCCTCGGTGATGTTCCCTAGCACAGCCAGAGCCTGCTGACTAGGTAATGTCACCCAGCGACACTGCCTCCTCTTACCTGTCATTCACCATAAACCGTTTCGTAAGCAGTGGATTTAAACAGTGAAACTTATGTTATGTTTTATTTCTCCCCCCACCTTTTGTGTTTTGGGTTTTTTTTGAGGTTTTTTTTGTAATCTGTACAGCAAGAATTCTGTCAATAAAAGATCGGGCAACAGGGCCCATAACACAATTTCTAGCCGGATTTGTTGAGGTTTTGTGAAAAGTGAGATGCACTCAGTTTGTCCTTTGTTTAATGATTGTCTTATTTACTTTCTTTAACTGTATTATGTACAATCTTGATTTGGAAGGAGGAATTGAAAGTTGTGGGCCAGACTTTATAATATTGTCCTCAATGCAGAAATACCAACAGTAGCAAAGGTAGCCATGTGACCCCACCTCTGCAAATCGTAAATGCAGAATTCCTTTCAATTGGGCAGTTACAGTTGCAGTCTCTCTGGTCCCGTCCCTCTGAGATTTCGGTGGGTTTGGGCTGAGTTGTAGAAGGGCAGTACATCCAGTACAGTGCAGTACTCCGAGGGTATCCAGGCTCAGCCTCCATCTTTCCATCCTGGAACTTCCAGTACTGAGAGCCTTTAAAGAAATAGGTGCTGCCTGTGGAGATGTGGATTAAATAGGTTACTCCAAGGGGTTATGTAGGGCATACTGCTAACCCGACCAGTCACTATTCTGTAACCTGCTGGTGGCTGTCCGTTATGTTTCGTACACCCTGTTTTGTGCTGGGCTAGAACTCCTACTTGGAAGTAGGCTGAAAAAGGTTTTGGGAAGGTAGATGGTTTTATTTCTACAGTAAGGGAAGATGTATCTTTGGGTCTAAAAGAATGATCTATGCTCCTGGTCTAAATGATCTATCCAACTTTCCTAGTCCAGCTCCTCCTCCACATATCTTGTCCTCCTAGACCAGCTCCTCCTCCACATATCTTGCCCTCCTAGACCAGCTCCTCCTCCACATATCTTGCCCTCCTAGACTAGCTCCTCCTCCACATATCTTGCCCTCCTAGACCAGCTCCTCCTCCACATATCTTGCCCTCCTAGACCAGCTCCTCCTCCACATATCTTGCCCTCCTAGACTAGCTCCTCCTCCACATATCTTGCCCTCCTAGACTAGCTCCTCCACATATCTTGCCCTCCTAGACTAGCTCCTCCTCCACATATCTTGCTCTCCTAGACTAGCTCCTCCACATATTTTGCCCTCCTAGACCAGCTCCTCCACATATCTTGCCCTCTTAGACTAGCTCCTCCACATATCTTGCCCTCTTAGACTAGCTCCTCCACATATCTTGCCCTCTTAGACTAGCTCCTCCTCCACATATCTTGCCCTCCTAGACTAGCTCCTCCTCCACATAGCTTGCCCTCCTAGACTAGCTCCTCCTCCACATAGCTTGCCCTCCTAGACTAGCTCCTCCTCCACATAGCTTGCCCTCCTAGACTAGCTCCTCCTCCACATAGCTTGCCCTCCTAGACTAGCTCCTCCTCCACATAGCTTGCCCTCCTAGACTAGCTCCTCCTCCACATAGCTTGCCCTCCTAGACCAGCTCCTCCTCTACATAGCTTGCCCTCCTAGACCATATATTCCTCTTTTAGACCAGTTATTATACCAGATATTCTGCCCACTGAGAGCAGCTCCTGTTTTTCTAGCCCAGCTCCTACACCAGATATCCTGAAGTGCAAGACCTGCGCCAAGTATATGCCCTCCTAGACCATATATATCTCTTGACTAGACCAGCTTCTACTGCAAATATCCTGTTCTCCTAAACCAGCTCAGTAGTCTTCTCAAATATTCGGTTCTTTTTACAAATGAGTTTCTAGAGGATGTACTATTTCACAGACCTACTAGTACACAATATATCTTCTTTAAATTATCTCACTCTAAGTACAATGCGGATACACAAGTATAAATGACTGTGTTTCACCATTAGGTGTTGCTGTTAAAGCACATTTTACTGGCTGATGGGATATTACTTTATTGACATTGTCTGAAAAGTGATAGAGTTCTATATGTGTGAAAAACACGGCTAGTTCATGTTTATGGTGACTGATTCACTTTTCATGACACGTAGTCCAATCTTCCCCATAGTATCCACTGCTATTTATTTGGCTAGCAGAAGTAAGAGAATAAAGTCTGGATACCTTAGGCCTCCAACTTTCTAAACTGGTCAATATTTCGCCCTCTAGAGAGACCTTAACTTCCCCATGTTGTAGTTTGTTTCAGTATATTTCATGTGGTATATTTTTGGTGATTTATTTCTTTCCTTATAAATATTTGTATATTTGAGCCTATGATTATTAAAATAGAAGATTTATTTGCGCTTGTGTAAATCTTTCCTTTTAGAAAAATTCCATTGCCTGCTTTTGCCCGAAAATGTTACTTGCTCGTTACTTACATGATTAGCACATATAACGGAAACGGCAGTTTCGTATGACAGCTGTCCATCTTATTTACTCGTTCACCCGAAAAATACAAAATCTTGGATTAAAAGGTGTCCTTTACCTTTCACTAATTTAAACAAAATACCCTCAATTTCTGTTACAGAAGGTGTTTTAAAAACAATCAATTTACTTACCTTTCTTACATGGAAGACTGGAAAGTCACCATTATTTTTATTAATGCAGCGTAATAAAAATTTGTGGACATAATGGCTGCATCCAGTAAAACCATTAACACCTAGAACCTGCACGAATCTGCAACTAAATATATGTCCATACAGACAAGTATTATAAAACCCGAATCTAAAATTCTCACCGTTTTCTCCACTGATGACATCATCCACTTCTGAGGATAGTCCCTGCCACAGTCTTATGTCAAGTGGATAACCAGGGTCTGGGTGTCTTTTATCATCATCAAATCTCCAGAATTTGTGTCCCCGGAAGAAGTATGTTTTGCGGTTATGAGTCCAGACGAAAACCCCATCGATTCCATCTGCACCCAGTCCAAAATCTGAGATTGGGCGTGGATACCCAGGAAGGGCTTTGGTGTCTTGGAACACCCAGTATGAGCTTCCTAGGTTGGGATTACAGGTGATTAAAGACAACGGGAAATACATCTTCTACATACCTCTACTAATCAACTAACCTGCAATGAACACAATTCTGCTGTCGTTGGCTCGTTCATACACTGCATCCAGTCTGTCAAGGTCGTGTGGCAACCCTAGCCAAAAACGACTGATGTGTGCGGGCGAGAGGGAGATTAACTGTCCGGAAGCCTGAACTCGCCAGAAATATTTATCTGAGGAGAAAACAAGCAGAGCTCAGTGAATAGTTTTAACAGGTTTTATAAACAAATTGTAGTGGATTATGAACTGTTTCTTACTTTTGAAGAAGAACACCTCTCCTCTAATATTGGCAATGGCATCGAAGTTGGTTGAACAGCGATCTAGGAAAGGATGGCGAGGCCTGAAAAGCAGGTGGTGTTTTGGGTTTAATTAAATCAGATTAAGGATATTTGTAGAGATACACCTAATCTGGCTTTGTGGTTGGAAGTGTGTACTGTGGTACTTTTTTTTGAAATCATTTGTGGCAGACTGCCTGGCACTCTAACTGGGTACCTCAGACAATTGCTGCTTCTTAGTATTACAGAGTACTATAAGCACCGTAGTCCCATTACCCACCGCATCTTGGCTGGGGTCTTGCCATCCCTTCCCACCCTGGATAAACACCTGGATCCAGCTCCCAGTGCGAAGACCTCTCCTCAAGAGAGTATAGCTATATAGCCCTTAAAAGAGCTAGTAATATAGCAATCCAAAGAGCAGGGATATAGCTGGTATAGCTTTTTCCCCCACACACATAGTATCCAAGTCTTCAACTGTAGGTTGGCAGGTTTGGGTCAGCCACCCAATTTTCCTGCTCTGCATCACTGTCCCGTGGCTGCGTCTAGCAGCTCTCTGTAGTCTTTTTCCAGTTCCCACTCCATGGCAAGCAGGCGGGTAAATTCTGGTCCTAGCCCCTGGACTGTGGGATACTGCAACACAGCATTACGGTAACAATAAATCGCCCAGTACCGCGACTGGGCAGGACCGTCCAAGTTGACGTCCTCCTCAAAGGCCTTCCATAATAGGCCAGAACCACTGTAGCCTTCACCCTCTGCCAGCTAGGTATCTTGCTGTACTACGTACTACCACAGCACCCGGTACAAATAGTTTCCTCTCCACTAGGGCTTCCAGGTACCTGACCCGCTCTGCCACAGGTTGTTCTCCCAGGAGCGACATCCGTTGGCCCACTTGGTTCCATAAGCACTTTGCTATACCAGGGAGTGTCTCTCCCCGCTGAAACTGGATTCCTTCCAGGGCAACATAGAAAGTGATGGCAGATAAGAACCATTCGGTCCATCTAGTCTGCTCAATTTTCTAAATACTTTCATTAGTCCCTGGCCTTCACTTATAGTTAGGATAGCCTTATACCTATCCCACGCATGCTTAAACTCCTTTACTGTGTTAACCTCTACCACTTCAGCTGGAAGGCTATTCCATGCATCCACTACCCTCTCCGTAAAGTAATACTTCCTGATATTATTTTTAAACCTTTGCCCCTCTAATTTAAGACTGTCCTCTTGTGGTAGTTTTTCTTCTTTTAAATATGGTCTCCTCCTTTACTGTGTTGATTCCCTTTATGTATTTTAATGTTTCTATCATATCCCCTCTGTCTAGTCTTTCCTCCAAGCTATACATGTTAAGATCCTTTAACCTTTCCTTGTAAGTTTTATCCTGCAATCCATGAACCAGTTTAGCAGCCCTTCTCTGAACCCTCTCTAAGGTATCAATATCCTTCTGGAGATACGGTCTCCAGTACTGCGTACAATACTCCAAGTGAGGTCTCCCAGCGTCCCCACCAGACTACATATTTCGATTCGGGGTCCCTCTCGTTCAGGAGTGTGAACGCTGACTGGAGACCAACTCGCTCCATTCCGCTAAGCTCCTCCGCTACCAGGGGCGCTGCACAAATGCTAGAGTTGCCCTCTATTTGTAACTCCAAAGGATTCCGGTGTCTCCAGGATGCTTCTCCTCTCACTAAGGGAGAACGCCTGGCATCCCAACTGGGTACATCCGCCAATCGTTGCTTCCTAGTATCACCAAGTACTATAAGCACCGCACCGGACCCCATAAGCTATCTTGCAGGGGCTATAGTCCTGAGGTAGAAGGCTGGCAAGCAGGCGTCTCCAGGAGTCCGTGGCGAGGTTCTGTTTGCCACATCATTGTCTATCAAGGTTGCATAAAAAAACTGCACTTGTTAAGGTGGGGTGTTAGAGGTCTGAGCTCCCTGCCTATATGAGAACTATGGCCAGAATTCTGCTAACAAGTTAGTGGATTAGTCTCTATAGTGCAGTGGAGATACAAGTTATCTCCTGCTTTCAGTTTTGTAATGAGCGGAGGAAGTTTTAGAGAGTCTCCATTATCAGCAGGGTCTGGGTATCCAGGGTACTTACCTGTAGGTTGGACCTTGTGAAGGAATTGTGTGTCGAGTTGGCCTTGGCAGAGATGGAGCCCCTGGATAGGAATCTTTCTTACCTGAGCGGTAAAAAGAGACATTGAAACCACTACAACATCATGCACCATGTTAGTAGTAAATACTCATGTTCTTACCATACAGAATCTGGATTGCCTCAACATCGTCTTGTGGGAGTCTATAACGGCGGTGGTCGCCCACTGTACCCTGATAATATGGTTTCATTATGGACTCCTGAGCAGAAGAATGAGACAGCCCCAACGAATGTCCAAACTCATGAACCGCAACAGCAAAGAGATCTGTGCCCTTGTCACCTGCTGCCAAGATTGACATATATTTGGGAATAAGATTAGAGTGTGATACACTGTCTCTCACAAATAGAGAGCATCTTGGCAGACACATTAAACATACAGAGCATACTGCCAGACACGTTAAACATAAAGAACATACTGCCAAACACGTTAAACATACAGAACATACTGCCAAACACGTTAAACATACTGCCATTAAACATACAGAACGAGCTGCTGGATAGACCTATCGACTGAGATCCCCAGACAGGACTATATTAGAGAACATCCCGGGACCCCCAGACAGGACTATATTACAGAACATCCCGAGACCACCAGACAGGACTATATTAGAGAACATCCCGTGACCCCCAGACAGGACTATATTACAAAACATCCCGAGACCCCCAGACAGGACTATATTACAAAACATCCCGAGACCCCCAGACAGGATTATATTACAGAACATACCGAGACCTCCAGACAGGACTATATTACAGAATATAGTGAGACCCCCAGACAGGACTATATTACAGAATATAGTGAGACCCCCAGACAGGACTATATTACAGAACATCCTGAGACCCCCAGACAGGACTATATTACAGAATATAGTGAGACCCCCAGACAGGACTATATTACAGAACATCCCGAGACCCCCACTATCATATTGAGTTCTACCAGTCTCACCATTGTACGTCCAATGTTCATCAGCATCCATGTGGGCATCTCCAGAACTGGGCCCCACTCCTGGAAAAAATGCATGTCCTAGCGTCCCTCCTGGGCCATCAAATGGATATCCATCTCCATGGGAGCCTCCCAAGAAAGCCACACGCAGATCGGCCTCCCCACTCGTCTCAGTAAACCTGAGCTGTGTCTCCCTGCTCCAAGCATACAGGGCGCTGTCAATCAGAGTTCTTGTAGTATCTTGCGTCAATGTGTCTGGAAAACTTTGCACCCTGTTTGTAAAATAGATATATATATATATATATATATATATATATATATATATATATATATATATATAGGAGCTCACAATATCTGAGTTAGAACTGTGAAAAATATGGATCCAGTCAGGGCGCCAATGTGAGATGTCCACCCTTGGCCTCTTCTGTATAAATAACAAGAGGTCTAACAAAGAAGGCGTGTAGGTTTTTTGAGGGTGAGAAGCTGATTATAAGAGACACATTAAGTTTCTGTCCAGCTCTTCATCTTACGTCTTCTAAATCATTATAATAATTTGAAAGACAGTGTTATTTAAATAAGCACTAACAGAAGCAGCTCCAGGTGGGCTTATCTTTCCTAGACAATAAATCTGTATTAGAAATAGAAAACCTTGCCATTTCAGGAATATTCAAGGTTTGGAATCTATAGCATATATTGCGCATCGGAGACTGTCCCTTTCTTCGGAGAGCTATAAATACAGCATTTGTTTTTGTGAGGGTTAGATAATCAACATTTACCAGCCATCCATGTTTATGGTCTGTACCAAAGGGGTTAAAGGGACCCTCCACACACCTAAACTAGTACAGATTTCTATAGAAACTGGCACTTTTATAAATTAATCTTGTTGCACCCCCCTGGCTGCCAATCAGATAACCAGCCCTATTAATTCCTGGTTTGTTTAGCAGACTGGAGATAAACTCAAGAGGCAGCAATTGCCCAGAGCACCTGCCTTTGCAAAGACTTCTAATTGAGGAAGTCTGTGATTGGATGGCCACAGAAAGTCTGGGCAGGGTCAGAAGGGGAGGGCTTTCTAAGGATGCAAACAGGAGATCTGCAGTTTTTTCAAGTGGTGTTTAGATACACTATTAACCCCATTCTGGGGTCAAGAAGGAATTTTCTTCCTAGTTTGTTGCAAAATTGGAAGCACTTCAGACTGGGTTTTGTTTGCCTACTTTTGATCAACAGCAAAAACCTATGTGAGGAAGGCTGAACTTTATGGACGCAAGTCTCTTTTCAGCTATGTAACTATGTAGCATACTGTTTCTTTGGGGGAGGGGAGGAGTAATGCTTTGGGCTTTATCTTGAAGCCCAGTTAACGTGTTCATTGGATAAACATAACTGATAAAACAATAAAATGCAAACTGCACACCCATTACGTTTAATTTCTATCCAAACATTGTAAGCCAGCCAGAGTATGATCCCCGTTTTCTATCTGTAGAAGGTGCTGTCTTCTCGTGCATCCTACACTGACTTTCATGGAAGTCACATGTCTTGGCTTGAGGATATATTCAGTCTTGTTGGGAACTCCCCTTCCTGGCACAGTGTGGCACTCTAAGACAACTCCCCTACTGTGGCCTATAACGCCCATCATGCTAGGTACAATGATTAGGGCCTACATGAGCAGAGGAGTCCTCATGGGTAATGTCATGTAATACTCAGTGGTGTATTTTGGATCTGTGCTGCCCTAGGCATGACGGAACTCATGCACCCCCTAATTTACATTTGCCCCAGCCCTTCCTGTCAATGCCACACCTCTTTCTGTTAAAGACTAACACACACAC